ACATAAAGCAAGGGTAAGGAAAACCACCAGAGTTCTGTCTTAGAAAATGGCATAAAGTTGGCCAATAGATAGTTAACTACACTTGGTTCTGCCTGCTGCAAGTTAGGTATCTTAAAACCAGATGTACCAATCATAACAAATAATACTCTATGGAATGTGCTCTGAAATATGTGTAGAAGCAAAATGTCCTTATCCCATGAGTGGATGAAAGAGACTGCCCATCATTAACACAGAAAATCCTCCCAAAGGGAATGTTAGGTAAATAAAGATTGGTTGCTTATTATAGAGAATGAGGAAGGGCAATTAGAGGAAAGAAAAATAAGTTGCTGGGGGTTAGGGAAGGTTCCTCGTAGCTCTGGAAATATTCAGTTGTTTAATATTTTTCAAAGAATCTCTGCATCAACTGGGGACTTTGTGAAAAAAACTATAGGTCTTTAGATTTTGAGAAAGTAGACTCTAATATACAACTTTGACTGGTCCACGGAGGAGTTCACATCAAATATATTAAAGAGCTCTCGTAACTTGGCAAAGTCATTTCACATCTGCTGCCTCTCCTAGTCCCTCAATCTGATGAGGTATGCAAAACTAATCCCACCACTAACACATTGCATTTATTTAGTTCTTTATGGATTTCAAGCGTGCTTTCCCATCTGTTTTCTCTTTGAAATCTACCCAAAAGTTTTCATGGAAATAGTATTAGCCTTGGTTCAATTTTTGTTTTTGTTTTGTTTTATTTGTTTTGTTTTCAGCAAATCTGATTAAGCATGAATCCAACAGTGGGTGATAGAATAGTCGAATATGCTTGTGTGAACTGTGGTCCTTGCCAGAGAATAGTAGTAGTAGTAATAGTGATGGCAAAAGCAGAAGTAACAGCTATTGGTCAAATACCTTAGACATTCTGATGCTATGGTTGTGCAAGCCCATTTTCTGGTGCTTTGCACATGCTGGCTGGTGGCCCAAGAGTCGTCAATTATCAATTGATCAGTCACCTTCATCTAGTTCTGTCAGTTTTTCTCGGTTTCACTCTCTCTTCCTCACTTTCAAATCCAATATGAGTTTTATCAACTAACTCCCATTGATTACACAAAATAGTTCCACAATCATGTCTTTCTCGTTTAACCATCATACATCCTATTTTTCTTTCTTTTCTTTTCTTTTCTTTCCTTTCCTTTTCTTTTCTTTCTTTTCTTTCTTTCTTTCTTTCTTTCTTTTCTTTTCTTTCTTTCTTTGTTTCTTTCTTTCGAAGCAAGATAGGCACATTGAGCTTCCATCTACTGGTTCACTTCCCAAATGTTTGGGACCAGGGCCAAGAGCTGGAACTCAATCCAGATCTCTCCCATGGGAGACAGGAACTTAGTTATTCAAACTATGACCTGCCTTTCAGGATCTGCTTTAGTAGTAATCTGGAATCAGGAGTCAGAGTTGGGCATTAACCCAGATACTCTGATATGGGACACAAGCCATCTTACTGGATCTCAGCTGGCTGGCTGAATATCCATGTTGCACAGCCCTTTGAAGTCAGTATTTTTCTTATTCCATTTTACAGAGATTGGCAGCTTAATAATATGGCCACATGGCCAGTTAATGATAAGGCTGGAATCTGGACATAAATCCAGAGCCTACCTCTACCTTGGCTGCCTCCAGAGCTAAAGTTCTTGATAACAATAGCTCAGTTTAGGATTTCCCTACCTGTATGGTATCATTAAATTTTCCCAACACAACAGCTTTATGGTAGTTTTTTCAGGTAGCATTGCTTCACTTTTACAGAGGAAAAAACAGACTTTTAGAGTTCTTAGGAAATCTGCCCAAGGCCACACTGGTCACCAGTGAGTTGACCCATGCAATTGAATTTCTGGATTCCAAGTTATTACTCAGCTTATTAAACTGTTTCCCAAAATCAAGATTCAGAAAAGTTGAACTCATTAGGGAGCACAGGTCATGTAAAGACAGGCCCAGCGCCAAGACCTTCCTCACATGGGATTATGAAGTGTGTGTTGGTCTTAGCTTGTCTCATTTATGGACCAGTGATACCTTCACCTCCAAGTCTTGCACTTCCGACAACCCCAATCCAGCACGAGTCTCTGCCACTCTGCCTAGTGATTTCCCTTCTGTAGTTCCCCATGGCAGTATCTGTGCCTTTTCCATGGCTGCTCCCACCAATGTGGAGGAAGGGATGCTCTGCCTGCCCGCCTACAGCCAGTCTGCAATCCCTAAGCTGATCTGCTGTCTGCTGCCGTTCAGACAGACTGATTACTGTATAGTCTGGCTTGCTGGTAATCATGGGAACCCCCCAAATCCACCCAGAGCTATTGTGACTTCCTACCTTTTGAAACCAGACATTTCAATGAATAGAAGCCACAGTTGCAGAAAAATCTTAACCCATCCCCCCCGCCCCCCAATAAATTTTACTCTATTGGCTGTCAGGCATCCCTTCCAGATGTTTCAAGTTAAGATTGGGAAAGTTGTGTTTTTTCTGGATTGAATCACATCATTTGGCTGACTTTTGTTGGCCCTTCATACACTCCTTAAATTTATCAAGTAATTGCAGACACTTTGAAGGAATAATGCAGCATGTGGTTATTATGACGGATGCTGTTAGTGTGCCTTTGTGGTCAAGGATTCATGGTTGTTCCTTGACTGATCCCTAGTTAAGTGGTAGACGAGGTTCAGAAATGTCAGTTCAAACTCTAGAATTTACATGGCTGAAAATGTCATCTATGTGCTGTGAGTAATGGAGAGAGGATAGATCCATTAACTCCATTTTTGTCTTTGAACTGTTTTGAAATTTTTGCTTGTAGAAGATAAAATGATTTATCAACTCTCAAGCGCCAGGGAAAACATAAAAAATAAAAAAAAAAAAAAATAAATAAACTTCATGTGGCTCCCATGAGACTATTTGATAAGGATCTCTCCCAGGGTTAATTTTCTTCACTTGTGACCTGTTTGGACATGAGACATGTTGAAGGGATGGTTTTCTTCCTCAATGACGGCAGCCCCTGGCTGAAGTGACCGGGAGGAAGGAAGAGCTACTTAGCTAGTAACCTAGGGGAGAGAGGACAGTCGTCACTCTTCAGGCAGGGCTGTGGTGTGAATCGAGCACCAAAATCCCAGCAAGCCTCAGGCCAGGGATGTGTTGATACCTGCAAAAGAAACCAAAAGACTGCGTAGAACACAGGGAAAGAGAGGGTAGAGAAGCCAGCAAAGAAACACTAGGCCCAAAATATATCCTTGAGGCCTCTGATGCCAAATCTAAATGGCAGTGAAAAGACAGCCACACCTGTAATCCGGATGGAGAAGGGGAGGGCTGGAGGAAGTGGTAAGTCAGAGACCCGGTGAAAAAAGGAAAGGACTGAAGGGACAAACTGCTTCCAACTGCAGAATATGGAGGAAGCTGTAAGCAAATAGAAGAAGCAAACATGAAAATGTCACAAAATTATACAGAGTGAAGGGAAAGTCACTGAAAAAGCTAAAGTCAAGGATTACCCAAGAAAGTAATGTGGTTTTTGTGACTTTCAGGTATATGGAGTTGCCTATACATGGTTGTCAGGGATCTGGTTTGAACAGGTTCAAATGTTTTATCATCTGTGCATTAGATAAAGATGTTAAGCATTTGCTCATTTCCTTTTCCAATGCTTCTCCGTAAGGATGTCCAGCTTTCCCTCCAGAATGGGTAAATATTATCTCTTCTGAGAAACAAGTGTGCTTTCATTTCACAGATTTCATTCCACAGACTAAAAAACCCTTAAATATTGTCAATCCTTTCCACTTGCTACTGGAAACCCCAGAATCAAATCCACCCATATTCCCTCACAGGGTATTTTTTCCTTTGCTATTCTTTCTCCTTGCATTGTCTTACTCTGATTTTCTCTTTAATTCATTCCCCCATCCTGGTAATTCATCGTTTCATCTATTCGACTATTTTATCTGGGGTACATATTACCAAGCTGGAACACAGGAGCTTATGTAAAGAAATATGTCAATGTAAATTCATGGATACTTCCAATACTAAAGATGGACTCTTTTTTCCTCTTTACAGACTCTAGATTGTATGATGTACCACTAGTTTCTTTAGCAAATACCCCTGTCATAGGTAGATAAATGGTCTTCTTCAGTACTGTGAGCCATCTCAACTTCTAAATTAATAAAAGAAGGCCCAAATCAAGCTGCTACCTTGGGATGATAAGTTAAGTCACCTATACATGACTCATTTGCAGGGATTCAGGGGCACAGCAAGCAACCTTCATAGTCTTTCCCCACAACATTTTCCCAGGGGCATTCTAACAAAAAAGGAACCCCAAGTAACATGCACAACACATATGGAGAGTCTGTATCCTCTCTCCAACTGTGCCTATTAGCACTCTACTTCCACTTTTCAGAGCTCCACTTGTTCCAGCTAAGGAGGTCTGTCTTTTCCTACTTTCTCACTTGTACTCATGCCAATCCCCACCTGAACCCTAACCCTCTTTGACCCATTCCCCCCATTTGAGATGCAACCTCATCTCCCACCTCTTCATGGAAGCCCTTTGCAGTACACCTGCCCCAGCAAGCTGCCCCAAGGACTCCAGGGCTCATATCTGCTCCTTTACCCCCATCCTTATCACATAGGACTGACCATTGTCATCTATCATTTTATCTATCGTTTGCTGCAATTCTAAATTAAGCCTCTGTGAAACTACAGACTGGCATATCTTGGGGCTAATAAATATATACCAAAGAACACCTGATGTCCATGAAATTGCCTGTTTCTATACTGATGAAATTATAACTCCTTAAGAAGGACTATAACATTGTAACAATATGGTGAATACCAGTCGGGAGGTGAGAATTGGGGGAGTGGGGAATCCCAGACTCTGCAGAATTGTACCATAAAATTCAATATTTAAAATAAAAATAAAAATGGAGAAATTGCCTGTTTTTAATTTTCAGTAGCTAAAAGCGAAAAAGCAAAACTCTTAACAAAATAAGCTGTGCACTGACTTTCTTACTCCCTCTCCTTCTAGATTTTGAAGAAGTCCTGCATTGAAATTCTCGCAGCAGAGCCATCAACCATATGTGCAGGAGGTAATCTGCCATTAAATGCTAATAGAGTTTCATAGAATTGATGATCTTTTAGGTTCAAGTTGCATGTTTACTTCTTTGGAAGAAGGGTCGGGGAGGTAGGAGGTGTTGGGATGGGGGAATAGAAACTGCTAAGTAACAGGATCTCAATGCTAAGGCTTTGCTAGATTCTTGTGAAGTGAGCAACCTTAATTGCATGTCACTTGGGACCATCTCTAGGCTTTGTGCGCTTTCAGTAGAATAAATGTGTGGAATATTTAGATTAATTACATCCTTATACTGTGTGTGTGACTAGAATACATTTTTATAGATCCTTAATTTAAAGAGAGGAGTCCCTTAATTGCACAATTATCCATTCATAAAGAAACACTGATTCTTCATTTAGCAATCCTACTAGATCTATTCCAACCTTGTACTGTACCAAAAAGTTTAACAATCATTGCAGTTTCTGTTAATTCATATACATGATTCTGTTCCACTCCTATAATCTTCTTGATGAAAAAAATTTTACTTCTCTCCACTTCCCACTGTGAAGCAGAGTACCTGACCTTTGTAGGTGGTGAGTAAATGTTGACTAAACGTCTTGACTCAAACAGTTAAAGAGTAATGCCACTTTTGTTTATTTGATCATTATTATCTCCTTTATTCTAACCATAAGAGGTTAATGCCATTTTGAGCTACGCAGTTAAAATGAAGCATAATTAGAAAGTTAAGCAGAACGAGACCAAAATAAAAATACTGGCTAATGGAAATTGCCTTCCTAAGTGAACCTGGACTCAGACTGAACTAAAATCTCCCTTAAATCCCACTAAGTTGTTTGAGATAATAAAACAACCACATATATCAATCAAATGAATATGACACAGAAATATCAGAGCCCACAAGACCCGAGACTAGAAAATTTATAGATTTATAAATTTATAGATTTATAGTTGAATGTTAAATGAAAAAGAAATGAATTAAAACTAAGTAAAATTGCATTTGGGTTTCTCAGTGAAATGGCAGGGGGTGGCCGTGACTTAACTTACTGTGCCTTAATACTGGCCCCAAGATGTTTCTTTTCAAGATGAAAGAGGATACAAGGAAAAATGGCAGAAAATGCATTGGTAAATTTAAGCAAGTTACAGCAATTCAACTGGTGAATTGTTCCAATGGCTGTTTCTTTGGTACAGCCAATCAATTAGGCAAATCTCTGATAAATCCAATCTAAGCTATCTAATCCAATCCAATCTTCAGCTAGTTTTAAAATATCAGGTTTATATGCAAATTTTATGTCTTACTTTTTTTAACAATACTTTTTGTATCACAGTAAACTAGCCTATTTATTTCCTTTGTTTCATATAATGAAAAAAGTAATACAAGACACAATGATGGAAGCTAGCTCTAGGTTTTGGGAAAAGGCAAACTCTACCCCCACCCTTAATTAGAATCAGAAGGTTTAAAACATGCTGATGACAGAGTAAAAGTATTAAGAAGAAAATGAAGCATCCAAAAGAAATTTATACATCAGAAATTCTCCTGTGGATTTTCATGAAATACTATTGGGAACGATTCCCTGGAGTGAATGTAACTTTCATTATGCGTGGGATTCCATTTTGCTGTCCATGTCCTTGAGGGCATTAGAATCATGATGTTAACATCATCATATCTAGGTGAGAAAAGTGTACCTATATAAAGATATATAAATCCCCATCAAAAGATTGGGAAGGGTATTGGAATCCATCAGGGCATCTGCAAAATGGTTCACGGTGTGTGCAGAGGGAAAAAGTAAACTAGAATATAATCAGTTGTTCACAGTTCTGAAATGTGGAACCAAGCACCAGCTCTTAGCTCGCTCCCCTTGTGCTCTGTGAATTATTTCCCTTCCTCAACCTGCCAGAGAATATCCTACTGTGAATCCCTGCCCAACCTGTCCTGGCAAGTGGATCTCCTGAGATTTTGATCTCAGCTGGCTCTCACTGTCTGCTCAACAGCAGCAGTGGTTCTGACAGCACACTGAGCTGAGAGAGGCAGCAAAACCACACACCCTGTAGACAGTAAAATCCAAATCCAACTGTAGCCTTTGCATAATGTGCTGAAAATAACCAGGTGAAATTTAAGGAGAAAAACACAAAGTATTGGATTGGAGTTCAAACAACCAGTCTCACCTGCAAGCAGGTTTAAGGAAGCCTTAATAGAACATGTAGGACCAGGGACAGATGCAAGAAAACGCAAAGATAATGACAAGAACAAGTATTTGATGTACCAGTTAAGTCACCACTTGAGACACCTGCATCCCACGTCAGACAACTTGGGTTCCAGCTCCTGCTCTGCTTCCAAACCAGCTCGCTACTAATGCATATCCTGGGGGGAGGGGGTGGGAGCAGACACACAATCTTAATGTACATCAGTACACCCAGTTTTCAGGTCAAAGAGCCCATAGTCCTATGAGTCCATGATCAGATAGTATCCCCACATGTTTAGAGTGGCATTGACAAAAGCATATCCATGGAAAAGGCATTGAATCTGAAAAAAAAATTAGCATTCACTCATATTCGTCTCCCTCTCTATCCCCACTCCTGCCTTCCTTGCTCTTTTCCCTTTTTTGTCCTATCATTTTTTCTTCCTTATTTCCTTCTAGAGAGTGTCTTCTATGTGCCATGCATCATGATAAGGCATGAGTACAGAAATGAGAGGCTCTATGAAACTCCCAGTTTATCCTGAGAGATGGTCATGTGTTCCAATAAATTTTAAAACCATGCACCAAGGACTGCAGCAGAGGGCTGCTCAAAGAGCAGCAAGGGCAAAAAATGGGAAAAGACTGAAGGAAGCAGAAATGCACACAAGAATTGACATGCCCACAGGAGCATCTTCTAATATGTGAAGGATTAGAAGGATCATACAGAAAGAAATGACTAAGCTTATTACGCATGGTTTCAGGAGACCACTATGAAGAAGTTGGGGAGAATTTTAGGTGAACACATATGACCTTCATCACAATGCTCTTTAAAAATGGAATGTGTGATCTGACGTCTCCACCCTAGAATTACATGAGCAATGGCAGAATGAACATGTACTACCTAGAGAACAATCTCCTTTAGGTCTCCTTTACAACTTTATGTTTCTAAAAACTTCATTTAGTTTGGGCACTAATGACAGATTTTTTTTTAACAACTAAACAAACAAGTTCTCCTGGGACTATTTTGTATTTTGATGAGAAATCTCAATGGAGAAACAGCAGAAAAATTGAATTGGCTCTGGTTAAAAACAATCACAGTCAATGTCTTAGATGAAACCATCTGGGGAGGGGAAGAACTCATCCACTTTCAGAAGTTATGAATTGCCAGTCTATAATCCCTAGCTAGTTTTTTGAAAATGTATTCACAGTGCATTTTTTAAAGTTAAGTTTGTTGCTGGTGTTGAAAATCTGAGTTCATGTAAAAATTAACATTTTCATCTTGTCTTAAAAAGAAAGCTGAATATTGTTGGAGACCAAATGGCCTGCCTTTAAAATAACTATATACTCTTTCCAGTTCAAAATCCTGTCCACTATCCTCCTTTCATTCCAATATCCATTCCAAGTATATGACTGACATGTAGATTGATACTTATGTCATATTTACAGTCCCTGCTCTAAAGCATGCAGGAAGTCACTTGCCATGTGAAGAGCCCACTTAGCACTTTAACATTACCTGCAATTAATAAATCTGCTTCCCTTCCAGTACAGGCACTTCAGGTCCCTAATTAAATATGTTTGCAAGCTGAGCTCTGTGTAATTAGGAAGACTGATCCATTGTTAGACCTTGATCCTGCCTAATTTAGCTCCTCTTCCAGAAAATACACCCTTAAGCCTAAGCACAGTCTTCCTTTAGTACCACTCCATCAGCCACAAGCTCGTAGTTCACAATGTTCTATGCAGTCAAGTACTCCAGGAAGGAACTGATTGGAATCACATGTTCTACATGGGAAGTTCTTTTGAACCAGAAATGGAAGTTATAATCAGTTCATCACTGAAACAGTTATATGTTATTCCTATTGTGCTTGGAAGATAGTTTAAGCTTCATACTCATCATTTGGAAATTAGATGACTACGCAGACAAATTCAAGTAACATCAGTGATTTCATTTTTAATGATTTTTCAGAGTGCTCATGCCTAGCCATGAAGCACCTCTTTTGAGTAGACAATTTGAACATCTGTCAGGCCTCCCTTTCATTTTAAGCTGTTTCTGCTTGGAGGAAGCACTATCAAACCCTGATGGGAGAGCATAAAATAATACAATTACTTTGGGAAGTAATTTTGACAGTTTTTGAAAATTAGACATATACCTACTATGTACCATGTGACCTGGTATTTTCATCCCTACATATTTATCTATGATTTTTTAAAAAAAGGGAAAAATCTGTATCCAAACAGTCTTATTCAGATGTTTGTAACAGCTCTGTTTTTAATAGCCAAAAACTGTAAACAACTCAACTGTTCATCAGAAAACAAGTGAATAAACAAACTATTGTTTATTGCATACAATGAATATTGCAACAATAAAAATGAGCTAAGTAAATATCAAATAATTATGAATAAGTCTTAAAATAATTATGCTGAGTGAAGAAGCCAGATCCAAAAAAAGGTCACTAGATAATATATGAATCCATTTATATGAAATTCTAGGAACTAAAAAATAATATATTAGGGTAGTTTATGAAAATGAAATTGAAAGGTATATTTTAATGTGAAACTATTTTTGGTGTGAAATCCATGCATCACATTTTCATAATGTTTTCTGAAGATTCTTTGTATGCATGGATTTAAAAAATGTGTATACTACCCATTCCCTGGAGTATGCATGACTTCCATTAAGCTCATCAGTTAGAGAGCAGATTAGTGATAGCAAGGCAAGAGTGGAAGAGGCCAGAGGAGAGAAGGCAGAAAGCCTAAGGAACAGTTGTGGCTCCTGGATGTGTTCACAATCTTGACTGTGGTATTATCTCATGATTTTTTACTTGATATGCAAGTCATTTCCTGTCAGTTATGCCTCACTAAAGTGGATAGAAATGAAAAGCCATGAATGTTTAAGAACCTATACATCACTCTCTACCAGCTTTAGATAGTGCATGCCACATCAACATCTAATAGGACAGAAAAGCAATGACTTCACAGGACCAAATATCACTAGTGATAATTTGGTACAAAAGTCTCGAATGAACAGAGCAAGTGACGAATACCTAGACGTTTCATTGTCGCACACAGTAATAGGCAATACTTATGGAGTTCTTCTCCTAAAGTATGCATTCCATATTTGTAAAAAAGGAAAAGAAAGAAAAAAGGAGGAAACAGAGTGGAATCAGTTTATTAAGCCACTTCTTGACAGTTTTCCATTTTTTAAAATTAAGCTATAATTCACTTACCATGAAATTCATCCTTTAAGAAAATACAATTTGTTCATTTGTTGTGTGGCACAAAGCTGTACAACCATAAAAGCTATCTAATTCCAGAATATTTTCATCACCCTAAAAGAAATCCTAGCCCTATGCAGCCCTGCCTCCAGCAATGGCAGGCATGATTCTCTGTGAATTTGTTAATCTGAAAATTTCACACAAATAAAAACATGCAACAAGGGTCCTTTTGTATCTTGCTTCACATAGCATCATGTCTTCAAAATTCATCCATGCCATAAATATGTTAGAACTTGATTTCTTTCTCTGGCTAAATAATATTCCATTCTATAGAAACGCTATATTCATCAATGGATTGATTTGGATTGTTTGCACTAGTTGGTGATAATGAACAGTGCTACTAAGGATATTCTCAAACAAATTTTGTGTGGAAGGATGTTTTCAGTTTCCTTGGGCATATGTGTAGAAGCAGAATTTTTGTTCACAGCTTAACTGTGGTTAACTATTTGAGGAACGGCCAATTTATTTTACAAAGAGCATGCATCCTTTTGCATTACCACCACCATGGATTCCAAGTCGTTACCAACAACTGCTATTGCCCATTTGGGTGGATATGCAGTGTTATCACACTGTGGGTTTAATTAACATTTCCCTAGTGAGCAATGACCCTGAGCACGTTGTCACTGAAAATAAACAGCATAAAGTCAAGCTAGTACCCAGCTACTGGCCACCTTGTCCTTCCCCTTTAGTCACAAAGATTTGCTATTTATTCTGAGACCTACTCTGCTCAGGGCTGGACATTCAGAAGAAATGGAAATGCTGACCTCCTTCAGGAACCTGGAATTATAATGGAGAACACAAGTGACAAACTGTACTGAGTACATGTCCTGAAGATACCTGAGAAGACATCTGTATTTGAAAATTATCCTAAGACTATTGTCAGCCGAGAACTCTCTCCTAAAGATTGCTGTTTTAGGCACTTCTCACAGAGCTGTGAGCTAGCATGTGTTTTGCTTAAAAACAGCACGTTTAGGCTTTGTGAATCAGAAGTCTGTCGGCATGTCCTGGGTCTGGTGTGTCCCATTTCCCCTTGCTAACAGAGTCATCAGCAGCACTTGCTTACATAACTTCTATGTGTGAAGAACTGACGTTCCAGTCTGCTGCTGCGTCAGATGTTTAGACTTTGCTGGAAACCAAATTTGTGCTCTAGCCCAGACGGGGCGGGAGCTTGCCTCATCCTGATGTCCTTCCCTGAGCGTCATATCCTCCATCTTCTTCCTGGGCCTAGAGGGATCACATGACTTTGTTTTGGTCAGGGCCATATCATGGATTCCTGCTGTCTTTCCTCCTAAATTCCCTGAGGTTGGGCCAAGCAGATATGTGGGCAGCCTCTTTTACAGAGGATTCAGCAGCTGAGCTGGTAAAGCTAGAACACGATGTTAGAGAAGGCACTTTGGCCTGCAGCCCACATTTCCAGAGTCTTCTCTCCCTCTGCTAATCCTTAAGGAAACAAGAGAAAGAAGCCCAGCAATGAGGCAAAAACATTTGGAATCAGCATAACCATCAAGCAGTCCATCTCTGGATATCTGACATTCAAAATAAGCTTCTGTGGACTTAATTGAGCAGATACAGTATGATTCTTCCACAATGCTTGACACTTAATAAAATGTTGGTTGAGCTGACTGAGTCATCTCTCACATGCCTGGAGATGTTTAAATAAAACTACCAAATCTGCTTTTCTAAACTTAGCAATTGTGTACAGACATTAACATGCAACTATATAAATCCCTAAATATTTGTGGAACTTAATGATCCTGAAAAACCACATGCCCCTGCCCTTAATTAATACAGCTCAGAACAAAAGCAATGAACCCTTGAATAGAGTCCCAATTTTGCTGCTTACTAATTAATTACATGACTATAGACAAGTTATTAGAATGTTAAAATCTGAGTTTCTTTTTTGTGAAGGTCCCTTATATTCCAAAAAGGCATTCCGTTCTCATTTGTAATTCTGGTAGCATTGGTTGGTCCTCTGAGTTCTTTTATTTAGATTTTGGTTTCTTGCTCCATATCGAGGTCAGCTCCACTTTTCTGAAAAAAAGATGAACAAACCTACCTAAAATAAAAACAAAATAAGCTCAACACAAGGAAAAACAACAACAACACAGCCCCAATTTCTGAGTTACTCATCTGTCACAAGACAATGAGTGTCTGTTTCAGCAGATGGTTAGGAGTAGGATGGCTGGGTCCTCAGGCATGGCATGTGGTGCCTGACAGACTTTGGTCCCAGCTCTCATCCTGACAGTTACTAGCTGTGTGATCCTGGACTTCACTCAGATCAGTGCGTTGCTCTGACTCCCCTGAACTGTGCTGAGGTTTCAATACCATCAGACATGGATAAAACTGAGCACTAGGCCTAGCACACAATGAGGGAGCAAGTAACATCCCTTATTATTGTCTTGGCAACATGACCCCTTCAATACTTCCCCAGGAATTAAGGTGACAAGCACTGAATATTTATTAAACTTACAGAGAGTTCCAAATGCTAGTTCTCTGATCCCTGTCTTCCTCCAACATCTACCACGCATTTGAAAAGCAATTTATAGCCCAAGATCCACTTCTGTAAATACTACATTTTTTCCCTCTGACTTTTAGTCTAGTTCTCTTTGTAAATACCACACAGTATTATTCTAAGCTCCAGTTTTTATACACAAAAGCACAGTAAAAATAAAAGAAAGTAGATTATTGACCATTAGAGAATATCAGACATTTCTAAACATTTAGCTAATTGATTGGGTTTTGGTTTTTTTGGGGGGAGGGGATGGTGTTTTTGTTTTGTTTTGTTTTGTTTTGTTTTGTTTTGTTTTGCCTTAAATAGGACTATGATAAAGGGTAAACTTTATTCTGCTTTCTTTTTACTTTGCAAGAATTGTGTTCATATATATGAAAGTGCTTTAACATCCACATTAAAAATAAGGCTAAAATATAAGTTTATTTTGGTGTAAGAAACTGAAATTCATGCATATGAGATGGCATTACAAAGTTCATGGGGCTGGTGTGGTTTCAAAAGAGCAGGGTAAAGCCACTGCCCTTCATACCAGCTTCCCAAAAGGGCATTGACTCAAGTCCTTACTGCTCCACTTAGTACCCAATTGCCTGCTGGTATGCTTGGAAAAACAATGGATCATGGTCCAAGACCTCGAAGTGCTGCACCCATGTTGGGGATCTGGAGGAAGCTTCTGGCTCCTGGCTTTGAACCAGTTCAATTCTAGCACTGCAGCCATTTTGGGGGTGGACCACCACTATCTCTCTCAGTAACTCTCTTTCTGCAACTCTTTCATATTTATTTTCATGTAAGTTAATCTCTTTTAAAGGATTATGATTATTTTTTAAAAATTCATGGAAAATGGATTCCAAAGATTTTTGCATCACAATAAGCTTACTCTTTGAGTTCAGTTTTCCTCAAACTCTGTAAAGTGTCCTCGTATTAACTGAGTACACATTGGACCAATGTGAAATGAATAGGCAGGCATGTAAGCTATGCTGCGTCTTCAATTTAGAGAGAAAGAAGACTGTACTGAAGGGCAATATCTCGTCAGACAGGTACTACCTGATAACTGGTCATTGCTGAGCAATAATTTGTGACCTTCTTAAGTACAATTGCTGCTACACAAACCTATGCCCTACAGTGTTGGGAATGAGGGATCAGGGTCAAGTGACTCCCATCCTAAAGGAATGTTTTTCTAGTTGGGAATGAAAAGACCAAAGAACAACACCAGCCAGTGCATGATTGTATATTACAATGTTGAGGACAGGCTGTGAATAAGGCCGTAGTTTTCAGAAAAATGTAGGCACCATGAGCTTGAAAGAAATCCTTCCAAAGGAGACCAATCTGTGAAACAGAAGGGAAAGGAGTTGAGTGGGCTGAAGAGAAAGTGAAGAACTAGCAGCCCCCTCTGGTAGCAGAGGATGCTGCTTTGAAAACTGCCTGCACTTGAAAACAAGGTGAGCTTGGTATGCACTTAGATGCAATGAGGAGAGCATCCCAGGCAGGAGCAGCAGCAAGGACCAGGGCAAGAAGGTGAGAGGACACTGGAAGAAGTCAAATGTCTTTCTCAGGACAGGCTAGTGAGAATGAGCTAGTGACTCATGGTGAAAGAACCCATGCAGTTGCTTTTGATTTCCAACCTAAATATTGGAGTTGTTGAGCCTGGTAGGTTAATGATCAAGTAACATGTCTTGTCATTCTTTTCAGAGTCTTTTCAAGTTGTCGTGAGAGGAAACGGCTTCCGACATGCCCGCAACGTGGACAGGGTCCTGTGCAGCTTCAAGATCAATGACTCAGTCACCCTCAGTAAGTCCTTGAATGGTTTGTGGGTGTCTTCAGGCTGCTGCAGGGAAGGGAACTCCCAGCTCTCTCTTCTAGAAGGCTACAAACAGAAGATCAACAGTCTTCCCTCTAGAGCAGCAAAAACAAAACAAGTCCTTCCTGCCCTTGGTTCTGGCCAAAGGAGGTGGCCTCCCGGGTGGGCACAGCCCTGGGAAGCTGGATTGGGACCTCCAGATCCTCCACAACTTGTGCTGGCCTGTGGAGGCGGCAGGGCACTTGGTTCTACATCCACTCATACCCTCCAAGTCGTGTACCCACAGCCATCGTGCTGCTTCCATAGAGTTGGTGGAGCTTGAAGCTCCTACACAAAGCATTGTAGCTTGTCAGAGGAAAAGGTAAACACAGACAGTCTAAATTTATTAATCCTGAACAAAGCAAAGGTCAGACTTTTAGGCTTGCCTATGTAGATTCTAGAACCTTTTTCAACCTAGATGATGACTGTTGCTTGGAGTAGCCAAGAAACTCTCATCATGATGAATACCATCCTTGAAATATAAGCATATGGAAGTCAAACGAAATGTGCTGCATGGGAAAACTGAATTACCCTAACATTGGCACCTTTGGGAAACATTTGTAAGAGGCAAGTTCCTACTTTGAAGACATGTGTGACTCATGTAGCTGTCCAGGAGAGGTGGGGAAGTCAGATTACAGGACAGCAGATGCCAGGAGTCCTGGTTAGTATTTGCATCTGGCATTCATCACATGCATAATTATTGATTCTGCGTCAGCAGTGATAAATAACAGTCATAGTACCATTTCCATACCATAAATGCTTTCTGTCTTATTGCCACAGTAGCCCTAAGAGGTGGAAAGAGCAAGGAGAATGGAAGGATGCACATTTATCAGCTAACCACACATTAATTTTGTCCTCCTGATAGCCCATGAGAAAGGTATTATCTAGTATTTAAAGCACAATGGAGGAGGTATGACTTTTTCTCCTCCATATCATTTGATATGGAGGATTTGAAGAATTAAACGGAGACATACATGGCTTCCTCACAAACATCTGGAACTTCTGGCCTTGGAATGTTGCCAAACATTAAGAACATTCAGTTAATTGTCTCGGTGTTTTGAAATTCTCACTCATATCTATGACCTGTCTGCTATTTGAGAACATTTTAAAGTACTTCTGATTAGCTGCAGTGTGAGTAGCAGTGGGACATGCATTCCCTATGGAATCTCTTTCATCATTTCACTTTCAACTGTGACATGCCTTAATATTTCCATTCCCTTTGTCTTAAACCAAAATCTCAAGTTTAAGATCAGAAACTGCTAAGGGTATAATTCTAAGATGTCAGCACCTCCCAAGGAAGCCTTCCCAGACAGGTAAACTTTCAGAGCCAGGTACTCTCTCCAAAGATAAATGGTGGTAGGATAGAGAGACAGATTACCTTATTGTCATTGTTTAATAGTTGCAGAACATGCTGTGTGAAGGTCAAATGAAATGCAACTTTACTATGGATGTATAAAGGCATCTTGAAGGCTGATTTTCTATCTTCACCATAAAGTGTTATTTTAGGAGAAACAAGCCCAGGCTCTTCATTCATATTCAGAGAAGTAAAGCCTTGTGAGTAAGGCACCTGATTGAAATCACAAGCCCAGCTTTCCAGCAAAGTGCTAAGAGTTTAGACAGAAAGAGGGCAGTTCATCATAGTATGTGTTGCAAGCAACACTTCTAAACTCAAACATACAATTATTTAAAAAGATTTTAACATACAATTATTAAAAAATATTTTAACTAAAGAAGAAAAATTAAGAGTTTAAAGAAAATATTTGGCCCTCATTTATTAATTCATTTGTTCACCTTCAGTAAATAATACGGAAAAGAGCCTGACAGGCACAATGATGTTATACCACCCACACAGTACACAGCACCAAGTCAAGAAGCTAATCCCACAGGGTGTCTGACTCTACAGAGGCCATTTATATCCCTCCCCCAATCCCGTATGAGCCTTTCCACACAGCCTAAGCGTATGGCACCCCTGCAGCCAGCCACTCCCTCTGAAGATGGCTCTTAGCGCAAATGACACAAAAGGGACACAAAAACAGGTTAGAAGAGAGGATTAGAAAACAACTGGAAAGAAAATGGAAGCGAAACATTTAATAAATGAGCAAACAGATGAAATCACTCAGAGCTCAAGAACACTCAACAAAGGCCAATATTAAAGAACCAAATATTAACCCTAGATTTGGAAAGTTTGTCTGCCAAAATACAAGTTAACAGATAGATTAAATGATTACACACAGATGAAGATGCACCAACAAGAAGAAAGGAGAGCAAATCCCAAACTCCAACTAAAGCACATTCCCAGAGCTTTTTCCACCTGTCTTACCAAATTTTAAGGGTGAATTGTCTGTTTCAGAGAAAAGAGATTTTAAATGTCTTTAAAAAACATTATTCATTTGAAAGGCAGAATTACAGAAAGAGAGAGGGAGAGACAGAGAGATGTCTACAATAGCAGGCCTGGGCCAGGCTGAAGCCAGAAACTTCTTCCTGGTCTCCTACATTTGCACAGGGGCCCAAGTACTTGTACCATCTTCTGTGGCTTCTCCCAGCACACTAGTAGGGAGCTGGATTGGAAGTGGAACAGCCAAGACACAAGCCAGCAGCCATATAGGATGTTGGCACTATAGGTGGTGGCTTTTACCCACTGTACCACAATACCAGCCTCAGGGAAAAATTTTTAAATTCATCTTAGAATTATTTTATAGTCTTGATTTTTTAAAAATTGGACAAGGCTACTAGAAGTAGAGAACACTTAAGATCAAACTCTCTGATGATATCTAATAAAATATTGGCAGACACAATGCAGCAATTATATTTCAAAAGAACCGAAATAACTAAGGCAATTTTGAAGAAAGGAGAGAAATTTTCCTTTCATAGTACTGCCGAATATAACTTTCTGTGATGATGGAAATATTCTGAAATGGGAAATAATGTAGCCACAAGCCTCTTGTGGTTATTGGATACTTAAAATGTGGCTACAGGGAATTGGAAATGGAATTTTTTATTTCATTTAAGTTTAATTAACATGAAAGTAAATAGCCAAGGTGGCAAGTGGCTACTGTACTAGACAATGCAGCGAGCCTCATAATAATGGGAGAAAAATGATGAGAGCTTGCAAATATAGAGAAGGGGACCAAAATCATTGCTTTAAAATGATGGCTGTATCTTCCTAGAAAACAAAAGTCAACAGAAATTGTAGACTAATAAGAGTTATTAAGCTGCCTGACTTCAAAATAAGTACCTCACAACAGTCAACAGCTCTGCCAGAGTTGGGCAGGGGACCAATTAGCATACTTCCCTGGACAAATATAGCAAAAACAAATAAAATCTTGTAATAACTAATTTAACAAAATATTTAGATGCACAGAGATGTTTCAAAAAGCTGGTGGGTAATAGAGTTAAAAGTTAAGTTATTTTGGTGAAAACTTTGAAATCCTTCCTTTCAGCTTCAAAAAGAAAATTCATGGACAATGTGTATGCTTTTGAACAGAAAGAAAAAACATGGATAGATCTTAAAAAAACCATTCCCACAAAAATAAACTTATTGATTCAATTTTTCAGTGAACTTTTTAAGTGTTCTTGAGTCTAAGGAAAAATTAGTAAATTATGTGATGGGTATAAAGAAAACATGAGTAGAGAAGCAATATAAATTTCTGACGTTGAACACTCTATGAAAATCCTAGCCCTGCCCAACCTCAGTGTGCAACTATGGTGAGTTATTTGCATCAGAATACCTCATTTCTCTTTACATATAAAATGAGGATGACAATGATAGCACCCGTGGCGGGTCATCGTGAGGTTTCAGTATAACAGGTGGAGTTCAGAAAAGAGCCTAGCCCTCAGTCAGTGCTGGCCACTGCTGCCACTTGGTTAGTATCATTATCACTATTCCAATGAAAGTTCTAATGGGACTTCTTAAGTTAAAATAATTCTAAAGTTTGTATGGAAAAAATAAGCATATGAGAATAGCCAAGGAAAAATGTGGAAACTTGCCCTAGTAAATGTTAAAGATGTACTTTAAAAAACCTACAGCAATTGAAATAATGTATGGCTAGTACCAAAGTCCACAAACTGAGCATTGGAGTAAAGTCTACAGCAGAGCCAAACACTTATATGAATTTGATATAAAATAAAATAGCCTTTCAAATCAGTATGGAAAATGGATTATTTTTAAAATGGCATTAAAACAACAGTCACTTGGAAAAACAATTCAGTTTGATTTGTGTCTCACACCTTTGGTCTAAACAAATTTCAAATGAACTGAAAATCTTCTTTTCTTTGTTAAAATTTTTATCTATTTATTTTAAAGTCCAAGTAACCATGAGAGAGCGAGAGACAAAAGAAGATTCACTTTCCAGGTGGTTCCTACAGCCAGGACTGGGCCAGACTGAAGATAGGAGCTTCATCTTAGCTTCCCATGTAGATGGCAGGGGTCCAGGTACTTGGGCCATCTTCCACTGCTTTGTCCAAACCACTGGCAAGGAGCTAGATTGAATGGCCAGGATTCAAACCAGTGCCCATATGGAGTTGCCAGATTTGCAAGTGGCAGCTTTACTTGCTTTACTGTGACTAAGAATTATAATGTGATCTTGAAACTATGAAATTTCTAGAAGGAAACAAAAGTGAATATTTGGTTGGGTAGGATAGCTAAGCATGAGGAAACATACCCTGAAGAACAAAAATAAATATATGCTTTTAAATTCTTCTGTTGCTTCTCCTTACAATAAAAATCAAACAGGAAACTGGAAAATTGGAGACTTATTGCTATGATATGTAGCAAACCAATAATCAATGAACAATATAGACAGTTTCCAAAATCAATTTAAAAAAGATATACTAACTAATCAATGTACAAAAGATAAAAAGAGGAAAAAGATAAAAAGAAAAATGACAATCAGTGATCATATGAAAAATTCTCAGTGTCATTAAGAAAATGCAGATTGGACTAACTAGTTGC